TTTTTTTTTTTTTTTAATTTGTCCAAGTTAAATCCACATGTCCCCTTTTTTATTCGTCACTTTGGCGAGTGAATTACACGCGTCTTATATGGTTGACTACTTATGAATTTTGTGTTTAAATGACATTTGATTTATGGTTGGAGTGTTCAAATGAAACAGACTTAAAATAGGGTATTTAAGTGAAAAGTGAGGACAGCTTTAAGGTACTACAAATGTATTTGGCCTATCTCTTACGTGCAAAAGTAAATCTCCTGTGTAAAAAAAAAAAGGTAAGATCATAAAACTAAAAACAAGTCTGTAAAGAGCCAAAAAATCAATTGACCTGCAAAGCTAATCATAAGCTACAATATACTATGAATTTTATTGAGAATTTAAGAGAGCAGAGACGCGTCTAATTTTCGATAAAAGACTGGATTTTTCTCAACCATTCAATTGCTTCAGTTCTATCCTTATTCATCATAAACTCATGTAGGAATGAAGAAAGTTCATCATTTATGCCTCTTGTCTTTAGGAATTCATTTAGGCCATCTCGGAAGCCACTGTTCAAATCCCTGAAATGACACAAAAGAAATATATAAAATTAACAAAAAGTCATGCACAAACATAAGAAACTGCAACAAAATAAATAGCATAGACAATTTATTAGAATGAAGTTCTACTGCAAATTTCGCTCGACATAGGTAGAGGATGTCCAGAGAAAAGTGCAATAATATGATATTCAACATAGTCCACACTTCTCATACTAGAGCAGTTACCCAAAATAACTTTAGAAACAACTTTCTGACTCCCTTTTAGTTTTATTTTCTAAAGAAGAGTATAACAGGCTACCAGGATGATCTGATTCAAGACAGTTGATAGCTATGCATAAACATGAAAAAGAATGTTTAAGGCCTTGCAAGCAGAAATTTGGATAGAAAATAACTCTAATAAGAAAAAAGAAAGAGATTTCAACTCTTTTTCTTCCCTTTTTTTTTTTTGGATTTTCCCTTTTTAAATGAGTGAAATGGATCAGTCTGAGTATAGCACATACACTACATAATAAAGTAAGAAGATGTCTCATACTTAACATTGGGCACCATATAAGGCTGAGCTGGAGAACCATCGTTTCTGAGAATGTATACTTTTTGAATTTCCAAGGAATTTGGCCAGGCTGAACAGACAAACTCCAAGAACTCATTACCTTGACCCTTCCATATGTCAACTAGCACACTTATGTGAAGCCGCACATCTTCCCCAATATTTTCATCACTTGATTTTGGAACAGTAATAGATCCATCAAACATCGTTGCCTCGATTTTGATATGTTCATCACTGCCGAATTTTCTCCTCAAGGTAATCCACTGCTCGCCTGGCCGATCTTCAACCATGAATGTATTAAATTGCGTCACAGGCTGGAGAAATCCAATATAAAATGTGAGAAACAATAGGGTGCAAATATCATCATAGTCGAACATTTAAAAGGACTTCTAGAAATATCAGAGCTATCTTACACTTGCCTATCCAAACTACAAAACGACAGACAGGTAAGCTAATAGAGATTCTTAAAGCATAACTAATCACTGCAGAGCAAAAGCAAATTGGTTCAATACATGATTTCTCTAGTTCTAATTATCATTTTCTCTTTGGATTACAATAAACAAAAGGATGGAAAAATTAGGATCTGCAGTCCGTTCATATTAAAGGAATCTTTTTGCTTTCTTGATAAACAATTCAACTGAAGGAGCAACCAATTACACCATAGAAAAGACCAGACAGTTATAGTAATTTATTTCTCCTATAAGGATTAGTGAATTGTATCTGCGTTATCATGACTCGTGACATACATCCAAGCACACGGATGATGGAAGCAGCTTGGATATATCAAAGATATGCACCTATCTGAAGACATTCTAACACATAAATAGACAAGCTTATAGAACCAAAAGCACATCAAAGTGGCCATTCTACCCCCGTAGTTGCATTTACAAGTTTGGTGCTGCTCTAAGCCTTTTGTACATGCAAGTCTTATTCTCAAGAAAGAAGTAAGAACATCTCCTTCATTTCTCTCTTGTGCTCTGTTACTTTTCCATAATACGAAACTAGCTGGAGCCAGCTATATAGATTCCTCTATATCTATTTCACTACATTTGGACCAGTACCATTCATCCATTCAATTTTTTGTCTTCAGGACAAGGGGATCCTTTAAGTCTCACACTTATCACTACACTCTCCTACAATTTTCTTTTATGATGATAGTGTCCAGACCAGCTTGTGCACCTCAACTAATTACACGGGTACCTGCGACCTCCCACCAGCATAGGTATCAAGTAACTTTGCCACCGAGTCACCTAGTATTTTTTGTTTCCACTGGGATTTGAACCTCACTACACTCTCCTGTAATCTTCAACCAAACTTAAGTACCCTTGCAAACCTAATGTAAATGTTTCCAAAATGTTGTTTTAAGAATATTGTGTGATAACTAAGAAACCCAAAAAAGTAGGATACTTGCCCTAAAATTAGCCTAAATATTCCAGAAACCTATAATAGATAAACTGCGATGTTGAAGAGTTACCGGGTGGGGAGGGGCGTAATCCGACTGATACTCGATTTCATTGCGAAGGATTCTGAGTATGTTTGATTCAAATGGTGATTTTTGGGTTGCCTCTGATGCGTGAGTCCTGGAAAATTGACAGATGAATTTGCTACAATTGAGAGAGGAGTGTTGGCCGTGAGAAAATTGAATCCCGCAGAACGAAAGAAGTGATTTACGAGATGCTCGAAGAAATGCCGCCATGAACATAGAGTCCTAGCTGAAATTTTGAAGAGGTTTTGAGGGGTTTTTAGGCTATTTAGATGGAATTATAAGGGTGCCCATTCAAGTTTTTGGGTATTACAAAAGCCTCCTATCTAGTTTGATGGGGTTGCATTTTTCTCCTCCTAGGTTATGAAGTTTTATACTAAGACCTCTCAGGTAAATTTTCTTTTATTAGGAAAGGTCCAAGTTTGTTTGAACTTTGCAAAATGAATCAAATTTGTCATCTGTTAATAGTTGAGGTTTAGCGTTACAAAAGTGGGCTAGGTTTGTCATTGTTGACTAGTGGC